TGCTTCGTAGTCGTGAAAGTCGATCGCAACTCGCTCTCCCGGACCTTCTAAAATAGTCCGGGGCGTCCGTCGTATCATTCGCTTCGACTTTGATATCCCACAGGCATCGCATTTCACTGTGGGGACCCCGACGATCTTCACCCCCTCAGATTGGTTCACTAGGTGTTCTAGGGCGTCGGATCCAGGGTGGCCAAGTCTCTTGTGCCAGACTATAGCCTCAGCTCGTTTTCGTACGGCTGTCCTGCGCGTTGGCTGCTGCGTTGAAAACGCTGCTCGCGCCTCAGCGTCATTGAGTTCCAGTATCCATTGTCCGTACTTCTCGTGTAGTACTGCCAGTTCGCTATCGTCGGACCGTCGGAGGATTGTTGGGTCGGATTTGGTGTCCCACCAAAGACCTTGCCGGCGGAGTATCCGGAAGGAGACAAGACTGCAGTGTAGGTCAGGGCAGTAGGCGACGTTCTCGAGGTAGAGGAGACGGTGACCGTCTGCGCTATCTACTCTCAGAGTAACTGAACCGTATGCCTTAATCCACACCCTTGTATTGCCTGCCCAGAGGAAGTCTCCTGTCATAGGCGGTCGAATATTCGTGAATCGTCCGAGGTCGTTGCCGACGTGTATAGTGGTTCCGGAGTCCATTATGTAAGAGCGTTGAAGTGGGTACTTAGATTCCTTTGCCATAAATGATGAGGCACAGATTATAAGGTTGATCTGGCCTATGTTCCGGCCTTCTGGTCACTCGACAGTATCCTCTACCGGAGTGCTCTGTGACTTCTTAATCTGGGGTGTCCCTAATTTAGCTCTCTTGGCTCCCCTTATCTCTTGTTCGAGATCAGTGTCGCTATCAATTCGGTGCTGAGCCATCGTCTTCAGTGTTTCACGTGGCTTCCACCAAACAGGGGCGTTGTGCGGAAACGCGTACCAACAATCCTTTAGTTCGTGCTGTTGGTCGCATACCTTGCATTGTTTCCTATCCTTGCCCGGTCCGGGAGTCTTTCGGCTTTTGCCGCGACCTCGCTTTCCTGGGGCCTTCTCGGCGGCGTCATCTGCGTCTTCGCCGTTCAGTTGAGGTCCACTTGCTACAAAGGCGGCCTTCGGGACCTTGTGTTTGATCGGATGCAACAGTGAGGCGTACTCTCGGAACTGTTTAATCATCATCCGTACAGTGACACGTGGGTCTTTATTTCCACCGGCCATGAACGCGGTAGTCCATTCTGGTGATGGTTTGAGAACTGCTTTGACGAAATCCTCCTTGATAAACTCTTCGTCTTGGCATTCAGGTATGCCAAGGGCCTTGCCTTCCGTGATTGCATGGTCCATCTCAGTTAGCCAGGTCTCCCACTGTGCTAACAACCTCATCGGTTTTTGGGCCGCGAGGTAACGTTCTCTCGCACGTTTGAGTTCCTCCTTCGTGTCAATCCCAACATTTGCGGCTAAGTTTTCAATCCACTGCCGATGGGAAAGACCTGCCTTGCAGCAGTTGTAGAAGAGGTGTTGTGACACAGTCTTCCTTATGTGCTCGGTGAGCTTTCCAAGTCCGGTCCGCTCTTGTTGATATCTCTGGTTAAGTATTTTAAACTCTTCTAGTTGTATTCGGTAATAATCGATATCTTCTTTATAGGACGTCTTCGCGTTCGTCGCGAGGTCCGAGGGTCGTACCGGTACGTAGGCTGGCGCTTCGGCGCTATCGTCGCCGATCGCTTGGCGATATTGGGTAACGTGCAGATTCGTCGCTGCAGTTGATGGCTGATAGCTTTTCCCACACTTGGTATGCGGCGCATTCCGCTTGTAGTTGTTGGTACCATTTAGCCCAATTGGTATAATCCGTTAGGATCACTGTTGGATCTCTGTTTGATAGTACAGACATCTTGTCGATGAGTTTTGATGACTCTTCGGTTCGGCGCTTACGTGTTGTAGCGTGGGGATCGTCGTATTGACGGTATTTGTAGTATAAAGTAACTTTGATTGACTCTTCTGTACTCGGTACAGGCAGTGAGACTCTTAATTGTCAGATTTTTATGGATGGGATCAAGTGTGTATTCTCTGTGTCTGTCTACGGCTCTGTCTGTGGGAGGTGGCCTCGCCTCGGGCTTGGCAGTGCTAAGTCCCGGCGCTAGCCCTGGTTTGGGGGTCTCATGTCCTTCCCCAACCACCATCGGCTCGATCATGGAGCAAAACCTCGCCTCAATCTGACAGATAGAAGGAAGGAAGCGACTAGGCTAGCGGCCTAGTCATGTGACCTAGGGCTTAACCCGTTACAGATACGTGTTCTAGGATCCGTTCGAGCCCAAACATACGCTAGATAAAGTGTCGAGACGCGGTGAGAGCCTTCACTAGTATTCACGGTGAATCAGGCTTCCCGTGCTCTGATTGGCCAGGTACTGATTAGTCAGCTGCTCCGTGCGCGCACCATAGGTATTCTCCCTCCTCCCGTAGCTCCAATACAACAAGTTCACACACGTTTTTCTCCACCTCCATCACTATTGCCCACCGGGCAGTGCCTGCCACACCAGCATATCATGTGACTCCCAAGCACCTTCTACCCTGGACTGAACTCAGATATTCTCAACAATAACCAAATATTCTGTGTTAATAATGCCGCTGGTTATTTTGCTAATACAAGTTTCAACCGTTCTATAATTACCCTCTATCAAATTACGATATTACACGTCTCTTACGACCTTAAAGAGCTGCAAGGGAAGTTTAGATGCTAGATTTTATACGACTTAGTGTAGCAGGTTTGTGTAGGGCAAGGAATGTCTATTTTAAGAGTTTTGTGTCAAGCGTCAAGGTTGGGGAGAATCATGTCGTATTAGAGCTATTGGAAAGAGGTCTATATGCGCAGTGGGAAGAGGGAGTGAAGGAGCTAGGCCGTAAAGGTACTAGCGGGTGAATGGGTGGCTGCCTGGTTGCCTAAGGAGGAGCCAAGGGATAAGCCCTATGGCCGACATTTTGCTAGTTAAATACAGCATCTTTTACCTTGTGTTGGTTGGCTTTGCACTAAGTGCGTAAAGGGAAATAACGATAACTAGGAATGCATTCTGTGTGGTGATTGTTCTGATTGATTGATGTACAAAGGAGGAGAACTATATAAAGGAGGGCTCAGGGGTTCTGGTCTGAGCGCTGCTCGGACGCTGCGATCAGTGCGCTCGTTCGCGTGACTGAGATTAGTGCGCCTAACCGCGTAGCTAAGATATTGTCGATACTTATGGTCCGACACCTTGTGTAGTATAAGCAGTACTAGATCTATCTAGAACTAGAGGCCTATATGCTTACAGCGTACTATTAGAGAACTAACATATGTTAGACAAGACTCTATACGTATGTAGTGACGTGAGTCCGAAGGTCCGATCTGCAGGGTGTCTCGTCACACCGTGTGTCTCGCTACAGTGGTTAGCGGTTGCGGCTTCACACTTGCAGGTAGTTTTTTAAAAGTGCAGTTATTATTAGCCCTACGTTTGACTAGTCACATCGACTGCTCTGTAGTAGACGTCTAACGCTAAGCCATGTACAGAAGGCGAGGCTGCTGAAAACCGTTGCGCGGCTACGCGTATAGGTGAAGCCTCAATCGCTAATAACTGTACGCAGTGGGTGACGTTAACGGGTCATTTTTCGCTTCGGAGTCTCTCTATCTCTTCTTTGCAAGATTTTCGACCTATAGTGGGTGTGTCAATGTTCTAGAGCTGGTTCCCTTCCATGGCATCAGCCTCCCTAACCCTAATAGATCGACGTCTCTCTATGTATTTGGCAGGATCACCAATAGGCTTATGTTAGCAGGTAAGATCACATCATCGGTCGCCCGCGCGATGCGCATGCTTATGTCTTACATTGCAGAATTTCTACTGCATCGACGATACACTCTCATACACTTGCAGTTTCCGGTTTGCGCACGCGGCTCAGTCGTCATCCCGCACGGGGCATCGATTCGTCCAGTATACACTTGCTCTGGAAAAGCTTAGACTCTGTAGATATCTCAATTTGATTGGGCCGAGTATCGAGCAGAAGATTGACTCATAACAATACTAACGAAAGCTAGCACTATTTAGGTAAGGTCACGACTAATCGAGAAAGACTTAGCATGGAACCAAAAGTCGCCTGCTTACAGAAACAGGAAGCTGCAAGTGCATGAGAGTGTACATACAGTCATTAGCGATTGCGGTTTCACCCCTATAGGCAGCTATTCTAAAAGTGCAGTCATCATTAGAGTGAGAATGGCCAATCACATAGATTATTCTGCAGCGGACATCTAGCGCTAAGCTATGTACAGAAGGCGGGACTGTGCAAAACCGTTGCGCATCTACGTGTAGGGCTGAAGCCGCAATCGCTAATGACTGTATCTACAGATGCGGAAGGAGTAGTAACTTTCGCGTTGCTAGTGCGCTTGTGCAGTACCAGGTTGTGACTCTCGCAAGTGCGTAGTATCCAAATACAGCTGCCACAGTACATCTTTAATAATATAGCATAAACAGAAGCCATATATTGTTACAGTGCAAGCAGTGACAGAAAGTTGCTATGCATTTTTCGATGTCTATATTCTGTGTGTACTGCTGTGGTGATAGCCTTTTATATGGCCATCACAATAGTCTGTTTACATGACGTATCTATGACACGGATAAGTGTAGAAGGTGCTTCTCAAGAAGAGGAGGAACCATCTCATCACCACATGGCACCTGGGATGTCCTTACCCCATGAAGCGTCACATATATTGCCACTATGTTCAGGGCTTTGATAATCCATGGCGGAGCCAGGGACATGCTCAATTCTCTCTACTAAGCCAGCTGCGTGCTTTGAAAAAGAATGACGACCTTCAAATTACTACGTAACCTCAGCTATTGCTCTCTTACAACTAGGTTCATTCAATATGCACTTGTTTACAGTTATGGAGATGATTATGCAGCTGCGCGTTTGACCCTAGTCCGGCTCGTGCATTTGATGCGTCCAAAGAGGTCTATCCAGTGTACCCGATTGAGGGGAACCCGAAGCTACGGGATAGTGAGTGGGATCTACTTCGATCCTACGTGTTGACCCAACCAAGGTGACTCAGGGTCTTCGTAGTCTGGCAGCTCATCCTCTGTGGTCAACGGATCTCGGGTCTCTACTCTGGCTGGTGACAGCATAGACACATGATTTTCTGGGCTCGGTGGAGAGCCTTCAAATCTCCTTTTAAGTGGGCGCGAACGTAGGCAGTCTTGCTCTTCCTCTGAGGCAGCGTGCTTCAGAAACGGGTACTTCGTGGCTTTAGGTGGTGTACAATGCGGCGGCGTATATGTATTGTACAAAATGGCAAGCAACGCATCGCGCTGTTTCTCAAGAGCTTCATTTTGTCTGTCTTTTCTTAGCTCATGTCACTAGTGACCGTAGGGGCATTACTTTTTATATCTTTCTAGCACGTCTAGTATTGGCTTCAGCTCATGGCGTAGAAGCGCTATGAATTCCGATTGCATGTCTGTAATTCGTGCGCTAAACTGCGGTGATGAAGAAGACGATGTTTTGCAAGCGTCCGTTATGTTGGAGGACGAATGGGTGGATGCTCAGCTAGCTGCCTTTAACTTCAATTCTTAGTAGACAACTATAGTGCTTCTTAATAGTAGCTACCCCTCTCTTAAGTTTACCGATGTACTAGATTACACACTTCATTCTCGTCGATGTTTTGTTAATCATTAATATCATGTATCTGAACACCCCCACAGCTGACTGCAGTTCACTTGTAGCCAGCTGACTACTCTAGACCATACTCTTACGTATAACTGCTGACGTTCTATGTGTTTTATCACCTAAATAGCTTTCATCTAGAGTCACCTACTGCACAGCTGAGATCGATACACTATCCCGCCTTTTAGGTCATTAGAGTAACGATATAAGATGCAATAGCCTCCACAAGACACTAAGACTCCTGTAAAGTATAACTTAGTATACAAGAGACGCGAAATATTTACATTTGTAACGGTTTGGGACTTGCCAAGACCGACTTGGGTGAGAGTTGGGTACGGCCATCGCTACCACACTTTCTCATCGCACACACCTATATAGCTGCAGTTCCTCCATAGCTACACAATGCAACGCAGTCCTCCTCCTCTCCTCACACCGTTACAACATTAGATACAACGATTATACAGTAATTAGCGATTGCGGCTTCACCCTTGCAGGTAGTATCCTAAAAATGCAGTCATTATTAGATGCACATTTGACCAGTCACATCGACTGCTCTACAGCGGACGTCTAACGCTAAGCCATATACGGAAGGCGGTGCAGCTTAAAACCGTTGCGCGGCTGCGCGTAGGGCTGAAGCCTCAATCGCTAATAACTGTAGCTGTAAATGCATCTTTTGATCTGTGTACAAATATCCTCTGTACGTCGCTAGCTTCCCTAATTCATCTTGGTTTTATAGATCTTCCCCTTACTCTCCGCTAGGCTATCCCACACATCTCCCGCAAGCCTCTTCAAAACGTTATCTACCGGGATCCTCACTTCACTCTCAGGTCAGGCGCTTTGAGACGACTTCCTATTACAGATATACTCGCCGTAGTAGTGGGCCAATCAAAAAGTTTGTCGTCACCTATGCTCGTCGTCCGTCTCATTAATACACATTTGTCCTCTGTGATTAGTTTAATAATGCCGTAACTAGCTTCATAGTCTTGAGCAATGGTCTGATCGCTAGTACTTGGTAGACCGTCTAAGAGTAGCTCGAAGTACAGTGGTTCTAATTGGAGAAGGCTTGAGAAGTCTTGCGACTGCATCGGGGCTCTCAGAGCAGCGACAGTTTTGACTCGTTTCTGTGACCTAAAGCGGGAGTCTTATTCCGCTTTTTGGCCATTCTGATATATGTCTAGCAGTCGAACGCCCAGAATTGGTGTACTAGGAAGATGGTGCTATTTGCGTTCCTGTGGATATGTGATGAAAGATTGCTTTAGCTGCGTCGCGAGTTCAATGCGCGCGCACGTTATACGACTACAAACATGGCTAATCTAGTTATGGATCACAACACCAATATGTGGCCATGTAATGTGGAAGAGGATGTTTCGCGTCGAGTGGTTGCAAATATGATCCGTCTGGTTGCGCTTCGCGTGTGGAACGAATTAGCGCGGCCTGCTCGGGTCAGCGGGCCTGCCAATCGCGCAGCTCACATTGCCGTCTCAGAAAACACGCTACGCGCACGGCTCGAACGCAGCTGCCAGTACCTGCAGCGTGAGAACGCCATGCAGGTCTTGCGCTTACCGATCCCCAACGGGCATCTCTCAGGCTATTGTATGACGCTGTTTGCAAGCTCCGATCCGCGACCACTAACCCCCGCCGACGTCTCCTCTCACAGCCGTTGCAAATGTACCGTGCGTTATGGGTGCGACTTCACACGGATGACAGCAGCCGCTGCAAGCGTCATTGCCCCTCGCCCCTCGCTTGAGAAAGCTGTTTGGGCGACGCAGTCGGCCGCCCCCTGCTTCTGTTTGCATCTCGAACAGAGCCTCCCATCGGCCTTTGAGCTACAGTATTGTTGTTGTTTTTGTGTTCTTTTTGCTTCGATTTTCGACTGATTTGCTCAAGGTGAAAGCTGACGGGTGCTAGCAAGCGGCTTATGCTTACTGGCATTGGATAACCGTGCGCTCAGATCAGACCTTCTACACTCTACAAGCGGGCCGGACGCAAGACATAAGCATAATCAAGGCTGGAGAACTTACCCTGGATACGAAGTTCAGTGCGCACTGCAGCAACGCGGCGCGGTATCTAATGAAAATGATAACGATGACAACAAGAGTGACGACGTTCGTAGGGCTAGCATGGTGTCCCGCCATGTGCTATTCTTGTCAACCTGCGCCTGGTCCGGGCCGACAGAAGGCCGTTTCCCAGCGTAACGTTAGTGAAAACTACTCATTCGTCGCACGTGACAATGAATTTCCGGTGGAGACCAACGATGCGCATGCGTCGCAAGACGTGATCGTCTGCCAGCCATGCTTACAATTACCGCGAGGGTACTAACACGTTGAGCGTAAGGTCCACTAAATGTAGCTCTCACAGATATGCATTAATTTCTATCCGTAACTTAGCCTTGAGCCTCTACCTACTTCTCACTGTGCTGCTTCTAGCGATGCTTGAGACTGTTGAACTTGCAGATGTTATGCTCCGCTAAGGTTACTCATCTATAGATCCTGTAACAACTCCTGCTCCTGCGGTCTATGACTGTGTCATGGTATAGACAGAGTAGCACTATTGTGCTGCGGGCTATCTCGCCCTTAAAACCATCCAAGTGTCAACACGTGGTGGTTGCCTCTCTATCATCGAACACGCGACATGCAGCCTCTTCTTCCGCAGTAATCGTCGTCCTAGACTACCTATTAGGAAGCTTTTGATTCCGTCTAAGAGCTTTTTCCTAACTCTCCGTGCTTGTCTTCCTCTGTTAGGAAATATCCATCTTAGTGTAGCGTCTCCGCCACGCGCTCGGGGCTTCGCAAAGCCCGATTGTAGACCCTGACTTTCCTCCCCATTGCGCCTTCGCAAACGCAACCCACAACCGATCAACGATACTGCCGTCGCCACCACCTCCACCTATCGTCCCTGCGAACCGTTACACATCTGGCGTCGTTGCGCGCACATCATCGTCGACTGAGGCACACAAATGGCGATCTTCACATCATCGGAGTGATGCCTAGTCGTCAACGAGTTGTGTAATCGCGACAGAGTTGTGTAATCGCGACAGAGCCGGCCGCTGCGACCGCGAAGCAAAGTATATAGTTACAGGGGCACGCGGGAACAAGAAAAACGCCGACTCGCAAATGTCTTGGCGCACCACCATTAGTACTACAGCACCACCAAAACAACATGTAATCTCTCATATTTGGGCTCAAATTGAAGCTTGAAGCTTTGCAATTGTATATGAAAGCTGTATACAGACTTTTTCTTGGGGTTGTAGCTCAACAGAGCGTTCAGGGTGTGTTTTCATCCCGTTTTTCTTCAGTAACCAGTCATTCTACCCTCCATATCAATGCAAGCTTGCAGTCTTTCTGGCATCTGATTAATGCGCTCATTGATGAAGCTTTGTGATACTTTCTGCCATCCCTCGGAGGCCAGTTCTCTCGTTTCGAACTCATCCCAGTGCGGAAACTTCTTGAGATGTTGTTTCATCACTTGCCAGCAGTTCTCTATGGGTGAAAGATCAGGAGAATTCGAACAATTGAAGAAGAAATCGAGGTTATTCTGGCGTTTCCAGGTGGCTACAATGTTGGAAGAGCTTCCACCTCCATGCCCGGAATCGTTGTCTTCTTCTAGGATAAAGGGGGGATCATTTTGGACCCATTTCTTCACCACAGGCTCCAGGATTTGATCCCGATACACATGAAGAGAGAGCTTGCCGTTTCGGTTGGTTGGATTTGAGTAAAACGTGAGGTTTGACTTGAAGTTGTAGCCAACAGCGCCCCAGATGTGCGAGGTTTCCCACGTTCGTTCATCATCTCGATTCAGCTGCTCTTGAATACAGTCACTACAGTAACGCTCCCCAGGCTTCCGGATAATCCGAAGCTTGCCTTGAGGACCTACACGGCAGTGTACTTCATCTGAAAAGCGTACGTCTCGCCAGTCTTCTGCGGTAGGTTTGAGTGCAAGCATCGTTTCAGAATGTTCAACTCTCTTCTTCGCAAGCTTCCTTGAAACCCAGCCTTTTGTACATGCAATACACTTGTGATAGTCCATAGAACCGAGCACGGAGCGAAGAGTGTTGCCAGAAACGTCGAGCTGAAGCTCCTCTGCAAGTTGTGGCCACGTCAGGACTCTTCCATCCCATCCGACATCTTGAAGGAATCTGTCGCAACGTTCCAGGTCTTTCTGGCTCAACTTTGGCTTTCTTCCGCGCTTTTCTTCGGTTGTAGGATCATTATGATGCGTCCGATCGTGCTCTACTCCCTTCTCCTTCAATATAGCCCATCCTTGTTGCTTAGAGACGTGGTTGAAAGCGAAGAGATCAGTATGTAAGTATGGTATACCTTTTGCATCCATGAACTCAGCTGCACCCTTAATGCGAGCCTTTTTAGGTGTGTCAAAGTTGGAAATCCCACTCTTTGACATGGCGAAAAAGATGCGCGAAAATATCTAGGGTTGTATAGGATGATGGTTGAGTGATAGGGGGTGCGCATGGGGCGTGTTGGGATGGAAACATTTAGTTGGGGCGCGGAGCTCCCGGAGTCGGCGTTTTTCTTGTTCCCGCGTGAGGGGGTCGCAAGCGAATGGAAGAGACGACCATTGCCTTGGTCAGAGGGCAGTGCCATACGCGATGGCTCATAGTTGCGCACGCATGCTCTAAGCTGGCTCACGGCAGCGCGCCATCCTCGCTCGATGTACACAGATAGCCACAACAGCTCAGATCATGGGCAGGCATCGCGTAGTTGACGCCGGTCCCCGCCGGCATCTCTGCCCCGCTCCACGATGAGTCCACAACAGGCAGGTCGTTTGTAGTTGGCATTCTCGGAAAAGCCATGCTGCCCATTGGGGGCTCCCACGTTGCGCTGGATGGCCCCAGAAACAAGGATGGAGTCATCGCACTCGGCCAGGGAAAGTTGCTTCCTGCTACCTGGTTGCCGTACTGGTCTTGCCATAGGATCGGCTGCATTGGCAGAAGAATCGGCTGCATTGGCAGAAGAATCGGCTGCCATGCCGCGAAGTCACTAGGCGCTGGCGAGCACACAGAAGCGTTCGTATTGGTGCTCAGGGTCGTGTCCCAAGCTTGGTTATTGCTCATGGCCGCCGCGGGCCAGCAGCTATCACAGCTGCATGCAGCCCCAGAGATCGTCCTCAGCTCCTCTTCTGGGCTAGTGTCTTCTTTCTTCATCTTCAATCTTTGCGTAGAAAACTTATATTTGGGATACGCTTCGTGGTGGTTACGGCGCTCGATCTTTGCATACGCGGCGTACGCCTGGCGCACTTCGTGGGACTCTCTATGCCAGCTGTCTGCTACAATGGTCGAGAGCTCTCGTGGTTTGGGCTTAGAGTAGCGCGCCTTCGCCTCTGTGATGTATGCTGAGCGATACAGCATGAACGAGTTGAGAGGTCTCGCAACATATCCGCCTCGCTGCGCCGTCTCTCTCCACCGAACAGCTGCTGGCCGATTGACCCACTCTTCGGTGCGTTTTGCGGCTTTGCGAATCAAGTCGTTTGAGTAATCGCTCAAGGGCCGGTTCGAACTTAAGGATATGAGGGTTCTGCTCTTTCTGGCCTTAGTGGTAGGCGGCCGGCTGGTCTGCATAGCTGCTGCTTGTCCTCGATGGTCGTACTTCCGCTTGACGCACGATGGGCCCTGCATATCTCTTTCCTGTGTTTCCACGTCTCTTCCGTTATTTGTACTATACTATTGGTCGTTTGCTACTGCTGGCGTCTATAGGGCGCGGCTGGGTTTTCGTAGTCGGAGACAACGATCTACTATGATCTAGTCGGCACTTTGCCAGTATAATTGTTCTAAGACGTGAGGTCTTATGGGCTCTACACACGAAGAGTGGCAAGGATACTGTAAGCATCTTCGTTGTAAGCGTTATCACTGTGAGCATTATCACTGTAAGCGTTATAACTGTAAGCGGCTTCGCTACCGGCAGCGAAGTACAATGACGACTTCGTTCGATTACCATAGAGTTGACGGAATGACTAGCGCTAACAAACAAAATGTCTTCACCCGAGTGCGTGATGTCGCTCATCCACGCCTCTGCACTGTGGTAAGCTAATGCCCCCTCTGTAGATTAGGCTCGATGGTATGCATCATGGGGCTGGCTCGATTCCATCGGCAAAACAGGGGCTCCTTATAACACGCAAGCAGTGAACCTGCAGTCTATGCAACAAGACAATCCTTAAGATTTGCTACCTCTACAGAATGCGACAGCATCAAAATCCTCCGGGGTACAAACCCAACCAAATTGGAGGCCATAATGCGACCGAAGGATTACACAAGAAAAGAAAAACATTAGATGAAGGAGACCAAGATGGGAATAAGAGTGAGGAGAGTGAGGTGCACACAGACAAGAGGGCCAGGCTCTTGGAAACGCCACAGTTAGACCGGGCCGTGAACGATACCAATGTACTAGCTGCCGTAGCACAATACATCGGCGACTTTCCCACGCAGGCGCAGAAAGCGCTCAACGGTACCCTGAATTATCTAGAAAATGTCCTGTCCAAAAGCTTTAACGAGACGAAAAGCGACCGGATTTTTAGCCTCCGGGCTAAGGAATACAAGCGCATCCTAGAAAATCGTCAGGATGTCCACCCTATCAGCGCGTCAGACTACTGTAATGGTGACTCAAAATTTAGAGAGGGCACGATTATAATATGTACCTCAAAGCAAGCGCGTCAACTACTGGAGACCTGCACGCTATCCGTCCCGTTGATAGTGCCCCAGCAATTCAACAATGCGCTACAGCCTCGAACGCTACTTACTATCGATCAGTTCCGCCAACAGCTCCAGTTTCGCAAGCCAATTAGGGGCAAAGCATGGATAGACGTACAGGACTTCTCGAATGAGGAGATCACTCAGAAACGGGAACTAGATGGCGCTCTGCAGCACATGGATAATCCGGAACTCGGCCCTATCAACTTCCTCAACATTCGTACGCTACGAGAGAATGTGGTTCCGTGGGAACTCCAGGGATTGGCCGACTATCGAGTCTTGCAGGAGGCAAGCGACTGCGCCGGAGTTGCCAATGACAACCAGCAAGGTCTCAACTTTCCAGATAGTTTTGCGTTGTGGGGAAAGCAGGGGACTTGGTCATTTCCCCATGTCGACAAGCACGGTTTGTACACTGCGGTACTGTGTGAACAAGGAGAAAAGTTGTGGTTCAGCTGGTCACTGGACGATAACGGGTTAAAGGAATGGGCGGTAGCCCGCGATGAAACGTACGGCCCCAAGCCGTCAGGCTTCCCCATCTTGCTGAGAAGTGGCGATCTACTCATACAGCCGCCGGGTACTGTACATACTCCAGCATCAGTCACAAACGTGATTATGACTGGATACTTTTTCTGGTGTTCACGGACGATGAACACAACTGCACGTTGCGCCCTGCTGGATCTAAAGCACCCCAACATTACAAACGAAGAAGTGCAACCAGAGCTAGGGGGTAAGCTGAAGCACCTTGTTCGCGCATCAAAACTCAAGTTACGACCGTACGACTGGGGTAAACAGGAAGACCTTGTGAAGTTTCACAATCTAGCGAAGGTTAGTAGCGCTCAGCAACCTTTTTAATCGTATAGTGTTAACCTACTTCTAGTTGATTACTCAAAGTCTAGGGCCTGAACGCAGGAGAGGACGCTAACCGATTTACGGAGGCTACTGGGGAAACTTCCAGGATGCGCATTCTCCACTTTGAGTCTACCTTTTGAATTGTTACAGGGTGTTTGTTCTGGGTGGAGGCTGCGGCGGCGGAGATGCAGCTGCGAGGCGAAGGCTAAGGAACTCGCCGCCGCGCGGGCGCAAAAACAACGGGGAAAAGAGGCTGCAACCACGAAAAAATCAGTGTAACAGGCAAACAAAGGCAAGTGAACAGCCTCACAGTCTGCAACTTCAGAATCTACAAAGCGGTGTCGTGTTGTGGGCGCTGCAGGTGGTAATGCGCTGTTTCTTGCGCGCCTCCTTCGCAATTTCGGATGCCTACCTAAGCGAGACAGGAGTGAGCGGTTTGTAAAATGCGGAAACAGCAAGTGCATGTGAGTGTAATAAAACATTAACTTAAACAACCTAGTTTGTTAAAAAGAATCTACTACAGTATCGGCTCGGGACACCTAGTGGATCTATTGCAGTATAATGCAGTCAATCAAAGTGTGTCCGCGCGAGGCAGTCATCATTGTATTCGCTGTCTGTCCGTGTGTTGTTCTGTCATGGCCACCTTATATGTAGTCATAATCAGGGTCTATTTACATGACGTATCTCTGATGCTGGTGAGGGGAGAAGGTGCTCATGGAGGGGAGGGAGGAGCGCCAGGACAACGCACGTGACATGCGCAATACCCTTGCCTCACAAACCGCAACAAACAACCTGGTAGGTTTGCCCTTTTTTTGCTTATCGTCACAACAATTGGTTCGCTTCCAAAGCAGGTCCAGAGTGTCTTTACTGCCGACACATCCACACCTACACGGCCATATCCCACCAAGAATTCTTTTTCCCGCATGCCTGTCGCTTTCATGTGGGCTGATGTGAGCCAATAAGGGTCAAAACAGACACTTGTGTGGCTGTTCTAATTGAACGGCTGCTATGTGACTTGCACGAAGTGACCAGAGATTTATCTAACGAGGATAGGAAAGAGAATGCACGCGGCCGTTCATAAGAAACTGGCGAGTGGTATCGATTATGAGACCTAATTTGTTCAAGGTAACGGTGTAGTGAATAATGGCCTCTTTTAGAGCATCCTGCATCTTATCGATGGAAAACACCTCAAGATCCCGCAGCGCTACGCAGAGCTGGTAGTCGCTACTGCTGTAAAGTTGATGCAATCATCACTCTACCTGCCTGTGACGTGACAATAGGTCGGATTTTGCTTGGTGTAGGTGGGTATAATGGCATCTTGCGAACTGAAGAAGCCGTTATTGACCACCCTACAGGCAGCCCAGGTCGTGAGATTCAAAGGCAGCCATAATCTCATTATAACCCCAAATGTTCATATGAATGACATGCTCCCCAAAGCTGAATATATACCACGCGCAGGCAGTTGCAGTTGCAGACTGTGGTCGATCTTCTACACCATCTGCGACCTGCATCCGGTAAAGAGGGGAAGGATGTAGTTGCCGATATCAATGTTATTGGTGCTGGATCGGTGCTGGACCTACAGCTAGACCGTGTCGAGGCCGTCGAGTACCTTGCGCTAGAAGATGGATACGCTGGGTTGCTGTTTGAAAGGATGTACCTGCGCGTCGTGGCAGTGAACGAGTTCTGGTACGTACAGACTTGTCAACAAGCAAACTGATCTACAGTTCGAATACTTAGACAGGAAATCCCGGACGGGAACTAGCTTGTTTAGGTATTCAAACTGTAGATCAGTTTGTTTGTTGACAAGTCTGACTGGAGGGATGTTCAAACCAAGCACGACCAAGTACTCGAGGAACTAGAGCCTCCATGATTCTATGGGTGGCGACTAAGACCTTATCATATTCGATGACCATGACCATGACGGAGAGGCACAAGCGGAAGCACCTACCCACTCGCTGGTGACAGATTGTGAGGCTGCGCGAGCCTTCCCGCCTCGACAAGCGCCCCCATGTCTAGAATCTTCTACGAAACCTATGAGTCCTACGCCTCGCAAGAGTTATAAGTGGTGGTGAAACTGAGTCTTATGCCATTACAAATGGCAAAAATTATGCAAACTTCCGTAGTAAAATAGACACTATTGTTGCAAGCAAGATTATCCAAGAATTTACTATCTCGTAGGTCTGCACTTACAAGCTCGAGGATCTATTCGCTGTCTTCTACGATGAGGCGAGTAAGACTTCCAGAATCAGTACCCTTGGTAATCCCATCTTCGGCCGCGTAAGTATCCGCAGGCGATATATACGTACCCAGACTTGTCAACAAACAAACTGATCTACAGTTTGAATACCTAAACAAGCTAGTTCCCGTCCGGGATTTCCTGTCTAAGTATTCGAACTGTAGATCAGTTTGCTTGTTGACAAGTCTGCCTCCAATATACAAACTTCTCGATTGCATCCATATAGTGGCGGATGACGATAGGAGGGAGAACAGTGACACCCTTCTTCCTTTTTGCCTCGAGATTTCTCATGGAACCGTCGTAGATCTTCTAGCTGACATATTATAGTGTCGTGTAGATCCAGAGGCCGCAAATCTTATTAGGCTTGTCTGTCTTATAATAGGCTTAACTAGATGTAATAGTGAAACTAAGTAGGGGCAGCGATAATCTCAGTCTTGCTTACTTTACCAGAACCCTCAACAGGCAGGATGCTTCTTCTCCTGATGAAATGAGGCTTTACACTTAGAGAGGTGGTTTAATATGTCTATAGCGCATCTGATACGGCTCAGTAGTGCGTTGTTTACCTCTAACGAGGTAGCAGTAATACAAACGTTGCTTCTGCCGCTGCGATTTCCACCCACTAAGACGCACTGCGCATTCTGATCAGATCTGTCGCTACAATATCCAGTAGCAACACGTTTTTGGCAAGCAGAATAGGAGTGTTTCTTCGGGCTCAGGACATCAACTCCGACTACAGGCGCTCCTCCAAAACTGTAGAAGACGTGTTGCTGGTTTTGAAGTCAGGGACTTCAAGACAAAGAACATATTACTCTCCGTATGGTGGAAGTGTCACAGTTTAGAGTCTCTCCTGCTCTGCTTCTGCAGCCGCAACTCACCTATGGTAAAGGCACAGACACAAACTTTTAATTTTTTATATACCATTGTTGGTAGGCCTTGTACGATCGTACGGGTGAATAACAACAACGAGGTTCTTCTGGTGACTGGTATTGGTATTCGTTATTCTTTCTCTACGAACATAGGTGCTACGAAGATATACCTAAGCTTATCGCAAGTTAGGCCGAAGTCGGGCCGAAGTGTTGAGCAGCCGACGTCCCTACCGATACTCATGATCCGACAACCATAGCAATATCACTGAGGTTTCATGCCTTTAAGAACCACGACACAGATTTTCTCCCTTACCCACCCAAGCAATCATATCATTCGGAGACCACACTCTCAAGGCTTGTGTCGTGACTCTTCAAGGAGATCTTACAATAGTTCAGATTAGATTGGCGGGGTTCGGCGCTGTTTAGCCAAATTAGCCATAAGTAGATGGACCTTACATTCACATTGGGCTTGGCTTAAATCGCTCGCTCCTGAGGCTGTGCCCAAGAGTCAATGTGGATATCCTATCATTAAGCCAAAACAGGTCCCGCGCGGTCTACAATCACTGACATTTCAACTTCAGAAGTTCTCTTGCTAACATATACAGCTTCGATAGAAAACAAATAGGTCTGAGTACCGCAAGCAATAGAGGCTAGGTTATAGGAAACAGGAGCGGCATAGCGATATATGGAATACTTTGCCTGATAGTGTTCCGACATCTATTTGCAGCTACCCAAGCACTCCATGCCCTGGCACTTTTTTCAGTTTCTCGACGATGCAGTCTTTGAATTTTCCGTTGCCCCACTCCATTATACGAGCTAGGTAATACACAATTTCTTGCGCATCATGTTCCTGCGTAGTACGCCACGACCGGAGAAACACCATGTGAAATGCACCTTCATGCATGAAATGCACCCACAGCTCGTGTGTTGGGCCTTCAGTCACAAGAGAGAAACAGAGTGCTAGGTCTGGGTGTAGCCCCAACGGCGTAGTCGATAGCGATATGAACTCCGAGCCAGGATCCGTGCTTGAGCTGCATGCGGCTTGATTGCTGAGATCATTCAGGATCCTGAGCATGGAAGCACCACTAATAGCGGCTTGATTCTGCGCGCTAATAAGGGTCCCATTCACACTCAAACCCTTTGCTTCTACAATCAAGAATGGAAACCGTATTGCCATGTCAGCCGCATGAGGATCGCTCAGTATTGACCCAGACGCCTGATGATCGACCAGCCGCCTCCGGTGTTGTAGTGTAAATGCAGTATGGGCGATTCCTATTACTATGTCTGGTTTCGGTGTTGATATGTAATATGGATCTCCAGCATCAGTGCTGGTGGTTGACGCTACCGATTGGGTATATGGTGGTAGGGATGGTATGGACCCGGGAAAGGTGGTGGCAGCAGTTCCAGTGGCACCCAGGTTGAAATCGGGAAGAGAGCCTAGCGCTGATGCGGATCGAGGAGTGCATGTTCCGCTATAGTCTTCATCCGGAAACTCATCATGCAATGCGCCAGTCGGTTTGAGAGATGCATTCCAGACTAGAATATACGGTAAGCATCTTACGCGCAAAGTTCTTGAGCAGACACAGCAAGCTTACCTTTCTCAGACATGTGTGTTTTCAGCGTTTCCTTCCAAAGGTCTGCTAGATTCCTTACTAGACTGTTCAGACTGGCCTTCCAATCGCCCTCGAGCGAACACTCGCGCGCATTCCTTAGTGACTCCGTCCGGAGTCTTACTGCTAAGCCATCGACATCTATTTTTGTTTGGACCTCATCCGAGGCTACCACTCGATTCTCCCACGATTCGATGCCTAGTATTCCTCGCACCTGCTCATCGATCGGGGGCGGAAGCTTATCCAGGTGGTCGACGAAGACGTTGGCATGGAGCATATTCCGTGTACGGTACGTTTGCGGTGATGGCTTTTTGGTAGGACTAGGAGTTCGAGATCCACGTGAACGCGCATAGTGTTTCAGGCGGCGTCCACGACCATCAGGGACTGAGCTTCGAGGTGTCGGAGGTGTAGCCATCATCTCTAGATCGCAGACGGCCGTATAGTTTTGTACCCAGTATTCTGTAGAAGACTCGAATTGCTCGAGATTCCGTTGTTGCACCGAGTGTAGGGCTTCTTTGGTCAATGGAAGCGTTTGCAACGATGGATCGGATGTTAGTGCACTAACGCCGGCACGTCGCATCTGGCGCTTTGCCTCACAAGCGTTGCGGTAAGAGCCTTGCCGGGTATCTTCGCTATCAGAGGCGTGTCGCTTCATTAAAATAGGAGCTGCACTCGCCTTAGGAGCTTAACGTGGTACCTTATAGTGCTGGGAAATGGTTATGTTGACATTCGAGAGTCAAAACAACCAGTTGACTAGAGGCAAGCTACCGTGTCCGTGCACCTAATGTGCCCGTGCGCGCCCCGCCCCGCCCCGCCCAACACCAAAACGTCCAATCGATACTGAACTTCAACGCTATACAACTTTATCAATGTGGACCCGATTCAAGCAGCGATTGAAGAGTTAGAATCGCACGAGCCAGAAAATCGACTCTCATATATAAAACTTGCAGCTAAATATAATATCGATCGATCAACGCTCAGTCGAACACACCAAGGCCTTCAGGCCCCGTCTGAGACCTAGGCATCTCATTAGCTTAAACTCAGCCCACAACAGGAGCTAGAGCTTGTACGATATATTAAAGGCCTTACTAAGCGAGGCCTTCCTCCTAGGCGAGAGATGATTAAGAATTTCTCATCTGAAGTAGCCCATCAGCAGCTCAGTGAGGGCTAGGTTACTCGCTTCATCAGCCGACACGAGATCCATCTTATCTCAAAGTGGACCACCGCCATGGATCGTACGCGCCACCTGGCTGATTCTGAGTCAAAGTATAGACTCTACTTTGAGCTACTGCACCAGAAGATCACTGAATACTACCTAGAGGCTCGAGATATATACAATATGGATGAAAAGGGCTTCCTTATTAGTATAATAGGCAAGAGTAAGAGGATATTCAGCAGGCGTCAATGGGATAAGAAAGAGGTTTGAGCATCTCTCCAGGATAGATCAAGCGAGTTTCTGATACTCCTGGCCTGCTGCTGCACCGATAGGAGCTCGCTGCCTTTAAGCCTTATCTACGCAGCTGCAAAAGGAGCTATACGATCAAGTTGGGTAGACGATACTAAGGCAGGAGAACATAAGGTCTTTGTCTCATCATCTCCAACAGGCTGGTCAAACGATGACATAGGCCTAGCTTAGCTTAAGTAGGTGTTTGATCGCTGTACAAAGCAACGATCAGGTAGACGGAGATTGTCAAGCGTCAAGGTTGGGGAGGATCATGTCGTATTAGAGCTGTCTCGGAAAGAGGTCTATATACGCAGTGGGAAGAGGGAGTGAAGGAGCTAGGCCGTAAAGGTACTAGCGGGTAAATGGGTGGCTGCCTGGTTGCCTAAGGAGGAGCCAAGGGATAAGCCCTATGGCCGACAAACTTGTACCAGAATAGGTCTTGGCAGGGCCCAAACCGTTACAGTACTTGAGTGTGCAAGAGAGAATTTTAATGTGGTGACCTCAATATACATACATCGACCTTGAGCAATGCTCACAACTTACGGTTGCGTGCCCACCATAAATGCATAGAACCCATGAAATAAAACTAAGAGAGTTAATGAAACAAAGGGTATATAAGGTTTAATGTCCGATGATGCCATTAAGATACACCGCTTGGTAGGGCCTAGACAAACAACGCCAGAAATTCAACAATCGTATATGTGGTGGGGAAGTAATTGCAGCCTGAAGTTGTGTCATCTTATGCTGCACTTGCCGGGTCGGATCAGCTAAGCGACTTGAGTTCAACATCCACTTTTGAGTTGGGTCTGTCATTCCGAATAGGAGCCTGAGAAAGTATGATTTTCAGTCGGTTGAAGGCAGCTTCTTGGTGTTTACGAGCGACAATGGCTTTTTTTGTGCCATTCCTGCGAAGAAAAGTCATTTGCCATATCTTCGTCCTCGCCAGAACATCAGTGATAGTTGGGATGGCTTTCGTATCTTCTTTCAAGAGCTCAAGCAAGCTCATAAATGTCTCACATTCGCCCAGTGTATGGACAAAATTGTAATCCATTGCTGAATCGTTGATGGTTCAACTTAGAAAAACACGGTTGGCTTGTTCCTTCGTGAGACTATGAGGTATGCTCTGTACGGGACTTGGAGCTTGAGTCGTGTGTAGTGTTGGTTGGGGCGATATAGGCGACATAGTGTTCTGTTGTTGGGCAATATCAGCATGTATCTAGGCCAATAGGACCTAAAGGGAGGTCTCTGTCAATGGAGGAGAAACTCGTAGTATTGAGACTATGGGAGTGAGAGACTATATACGTAGGCCAAGGCGCTAGCCGCAGGGACCAGGTAATCACGTGGGTGGACGTTCACCTCACCACTGACAGTCTTCAATGTGCTAAATTAGCTTCACTAACCGGATTACGAAGGGTATTCTGTTCTCCTGGAGCCATGCGTGAATCAGTCTGGCGAGCCGATTGAAGATCGCCGTTACGAGAGGGAAAGTATTTTCAAGTTGTGAGTGCGCACGCTCTTTCAAGCCCTGTTTTAGAGAACTGCCATGGAGGTTGCTAGGCAGTGCTGAAGCAGCGTGTGTAGATGCAGGCGTTAGCGGCGAACCACCCGGTGGGCGGTGGGCCGCGTAACTTAGGGAGGGAAGTTAAACCCTTGATTGTCTGAAACGCCATCACATACAGCTGCGTCGCTGCTTAACTGCCTTATGCGAGAGCCTAAAAGACGCGCTCGTGGCGTTTGAAGGGTCGTGGGGACACACGTAAAGTCCCTACCTGTGTGACGAAAAGACCCGTGTACCGGAAACAACCAATAAGAGGGCAAGGATAGCATCTTACTGGCTATTTTCGGCACACAGAGACACGGGGGCAGACAACCAGAAGGGGCGACAGGGCATGGAGGTTAAGCGGCAGCACGACAAAGATACGGCGGCTCAATCAGCCGTGCGCCAATCTGATGGGCTAGCAACGCGCTACGACTAATTAAAAGGCACAGCAAGATGCAGCCCCCACCAAGAAATTCACCAAAGGAAGATACTGTATCTTGATCTGGGCCTTTGATTAATTGCATAAGAAATACCCGAGAGCACCGCTAAGCTAAGTCGTAAATTTGCTTATGCACCAGTCGTGGCCCTATGGTGGGCTGGCTGCTGATGTATTTCTCAACCGTGCGCAACTCAGACGTCAAGCAGGTGCCGCCTTGGGAAGCGTAAGCTGCTTACTGATGAGCGGTCGCGCCACTGCGGCACAGTTCTTGTCATGACGGCCTTGCGCTGAGCCGACGGATCCTTCAAAGTGCTTACTGTCGTTTTCGAGTCATGTCGCGGTCAGCCTTACTGGTGGAATGGGACAGTCGCAGCAGCCTTGCTGCCGGCTCGTTGACGCGCGAAACTTTTGACCTAGTAAAGTTTCTGCATTAGTTAAGCCTCCTAGATCTTACCACTAAGAGATATCGCGATAATAGGTATTGTTTGAGCCTCTACAGCGTCAAGTCGTGGGGCTGTTTTGGTGTTCGGAGCGATCGTTGCGCCGTCGCGATCGTTGCACCGTCTACCTCGGTATAGTCACTAGCGATTGCGGCTTCACCCCTACACGCAGCTACGCACTAATTTTAGTATTAGGTGTCCGCTGCAAAACAGTCGATGTGATTGGTTAGTCATCGATCTAATGTTGACTGATTTTGTGAATGCTGCACGCAGGGGTGAAGCCGTAATCGCTAGCGGCTGTAGCACTCAATGTGTGAAGCTTGAATTTCACAGTGGCCCAAAAGCCAGATGGCCTGTTGAGGGTCTTCGCAAAAAATAGTAGTCGTACACATAGCAATAGAGCACGTCATACAGTAGCGGCATACCGGCAAAAATCATCAAACGATGAAGACGTGTAAAGACCGGACAGACGCAAGCGGTGACACGGTACGAAGCGAGCGATGAAGATTGTATAAGGGATAAACCAGTAGGTAAATGCCCGGTTCCGCTGATAGAAGGCAGCGGAAGATCTGTTTAAGACATGGCTACAGTCATTGGGTGGAATTATCAGGGACTAACTGATATGTACATGTGCTTACAGACCGTTGCTTAGGGGTGTCTGCCGTTTATTCACAAAGCTGCTGTACAGTCATTAGCGATTGTGGCTTCACCCCTACGCGCAGCCGCGCAACGGTTTTAAGCAGCACCGCCTTCTGTACATGGCTTAGCGTTAGACGTCCGCTGCAGAGCAGTCGATGTGACTAGCCAAATGAGCATCTAATGATGACTGCACCTTTAGAACACTACCTGCAAGGGTGAAGCCGCAATCGCTAACCACTGTACTGATGAACGAGACGGTGACTTCTAGACTGCACTGTGATGGCGCAGTCGCAGCGAAATCTCTTTCTCAGCTGTGCGAAGTCCGAACTGTGCATGGATTTATAGCCCTCCCTCCTCTGGCCATTCTGCGCACGCATGTCCTCTCTGCCACCAACTCAGCATGTCTCAGTACCCCACCAAGCTTAGTCAACTGTCCAATCTCATCGAACATGTCGCCGAGACAGCGGCCAAGGTTATACCACGCATATCCGCCTATAAGCCGGGCGTAGACGAGGCCTGTATTCCTTTCATCGACGACTTTGTCCTGTACGTCACCATACGGTCTTACACCACCGTCCCGGAACTCATGATGAGCCTTATATATCTATCATGGTTTCGAAATCGCTTGCCTCCTTCTGTCACAGGCCGCTCGTCTACCCCTCATCGGGTCTTCCTAGCTGCCTTGATGCTGGCACACAAGGTCCACAACGATGATAGCGCAAACAACACTTGCTGGGCGGATCTCAGTGTTATTCCTGAATGCAGTTTTGCCGGCTTCTCAAAAGTGGAGGTGAATCTGATGGAGAGGCAATTCTTGGCAGGGCTCGATTGGAACCTGCACATCAATGTCGACGTGTACGACCTGCTCAGCCGGGAAGTTTGCACAACACCTTCTTATTCGTCTCGTTTTCTTCAGTCAGAGCTGGTTTGGGATTGTGGGTGTTGTGTTTGCGTCGATTGGTGGGCAAGCCCAACACAGGGTTTATCGCACTGCTTTGCCTGCCTCACACCAAGCTATCCTGAAGTACTCGCGATGGAGCAATCCCACGTGCTGCAACGTTCTGCCGTCGAAAACGATGCCTTTGGTACACTTCACCACCAAGTAGAACCGGCCTATCACGACGCGTCAGCCAAGTGCAATACAGCCCCGACGACTAACGCCTTTTGAATGCCGTTCACCCGTAGGGAGTAGACGTTCGACTACACTCCTTGCGCGGCGCGACACATGAAGTGGGCTCCCGATTGTGCGCTTCGTCTTACGCATGGTTATGCATTGCTATCCTCGGTAAGCATCAGACTTGTCAACAATCAAGTCGATCTGCAGGCTTGATTCCTAATCAGGCGTGCAAGTCCCTACGATAGGCTCGTGCCACACCTAGTTAGGAATCAAGCTGCCGATCGGCTTGATTGTTGACAAGTCTGGTAAGCATGTCGTGGAGGATCGCTGCACCGAAGGGACAGTGCGGTATACACGAGATGACAGACGCAAAACATGACCATATCAGATCGCTGGCGTCTTTCTCATTGAAGGCGGTGCTCACAACAACCACAGCGTAGGAAGATGCAGTCAGGTATGGGGCAGAGATCGGGTTGCCTCCTGAGATGATAGCCTAGAACCCTTTGTCACAGTCGCCCTGTCATGAATAGGAGCTTTGCCACGAACTGTGCCGTAATTTTGCCTAGATATCAATCAAACCAGGGCGCCACAATCCATCTCTCTCACGGACTCTTCCTGAAGCATACTTGCGCCCAAATGCGCAGTGATCAGCCATGCAGTGATTTCCTGGAAGCTGAGCTGTGCTCGGCAACTCTGAGGCAGACTTACGATTGGCCTAGGAACGATGACGTTCCTACCTTGGGCAAATCAAGTGCCGCGGCATCGTTCTAGACGAGTCGTGCACGTTGCGATAATTCGTCAAGCACGGAGGTCGCCAGTACTTAGCCGCGCGAGTGACGGATGCGCTTCTGCAAGATCCGGACGTCAGGGCTCAGGGATATGGGCGACAGCATGCTTACATACTTATGGTTCGTGTCTCTGGCAGGCGAGGCACCAGCGAGTCAAGCTTTGCGAGGGGGCTCGTGCGCAACGCACGCCTCGCGGAGCGTAAGCAGTTGCCTCCGCGGACTCGGATTTATCTCATTAATCAGACGTCCTGACGACGCAGCGCTGCCGTAAACGGCTAGCGCATTCACTAAAACTCTTAGGATCTCCTTAGCTAATCATAGAGGCAGAAGGGGTTAGGTCGCTAGAGCGTCTGAGGAAAGCTAGACAACGGCGAAACCCGGGCTCCAACCTAAACCTCCAAATCTATCCCCAACTCCGAAATTTTAGCCTTAACCGTTCTGTCCACCCAAAACGCCTTGTGCTCCGCGAAGCTCAACTCTATAATCTCATCGAAGAACTAGATAGCGTCGCGAAGAACTTAAAGACAGTGCAGAAGCTAGAGACTAGAAGAAGCGACGGCACTAGAACTACCTTAGAAAAGGCAAGGTAGAGTTGTAGCTGGTGTAGCCGTCTTCAGGTTCGAATCTAAAGGTGCCTCTATCTCTATATAAGCTGACTTTCTTGCAATGCGGATTTTACTTGTGTTGCCACAGGCTGGAATTGGAAATAGCAACAAGATCTGAGTGTTTTCACCGGTGAAGGTAATCACAACTTGTGATTCACAAGATCACACGGCGCTGTTTGCTTCGTCTTTATGGCGCACCAGCTTTTTAGAGAATGTTTTAGCTTCTCGGAGACGAAATCCATGCAACTAGAAGGAGTAGTAATTCTGCGCTCTACCTGCACGACGCTCGCAGAGAAGGCAGTTTTGAACTCATGAGCCACCGATTCGGTCGATTTATGTTTATCGCCACTCGAACGGTGAGCGAGTGCCGTTCTAGTCACATTAGGTGGATGCCTTGAAACGTAAACATAATCCTCGTTTCCCAATGTCGTTTTGAATATATTCATCTCAACTCTAAATAATTGCACTAACTTAGTACAGGTATAAGGTGTGCTTTGTAGTCCAAAAGCTATGATAACGGTTTGCAGCTTAAGTAGGAAGAACCAAGATGGAGTCTTGAACGATACTACAAGCGGGGATTCACCCTGCCACCTTAAGTCGTCTTCGACGACCTGAATTTCAAAGTTATTGCTATGAACCTTGCCAACAGTCGTGATCGTACTAAACGTAATTTGGATACTAGAGAAAATGTTTTGCTAGCGACCAGCTGTCGATCTCGAAGATGACTGCGCGATGCAATGGCCGATAGGAGTACCAATTTCAATTAATATGGGACCAGTCAGAGCGCTCAACATGTTTCGTAGCACTTGTAAGGTTATGCAAACTGTTTCAGCAAACTCCCTCCATCCGCTGAGTCCACCTACAGCAGGATTCTTCATATAGATTGTACGTGTAAACACCGGCGCAGAGTAAAGACGTAGAGTATGGAGGTAGAGATATAGCTCTTGAATGTAGTTCCTCCCCATCGTGATTGTGAAGTCGTTTTCCATCAGCTCAAGAATGCGATTCATCACATCAGGCCAATTATTGCAGTGAATGCAGTCATTTAAAGTGTAACCGCGCGAGGCAGTAATCAGAGTATTCGCTATCTGTCTGTGTCTGTTTTCGTTGTTGTCTGCTGGCCTTGCTACAAAGGCAGCAGCAGGGTCTATTTTACATGACGTATCACCATCACGTGACACACGTGAAACACGTGATCCGCTTCTCCTCATAACCATCACACCAATTAACAGCAACTCGACTTTTGACTAGCCGAAGAAAAACGGCAAAGCTCCCACGATGGTAGTGCACCCTAGAGCTTCTTTTTATCTTAAGCACATCGAGATCGTTGAAAAGCGAGAGTAGGTCTTTATGCTGGAACATATTTCGGTAGACCCGGTGGAGGATGTAGGCCAAGTTGTGAACGGTCTGTAACGTCCATCCTATCGTGGCGAAAATCCATGTGTGCCGGAACCGGCCAATCAGCTCGCTTAAATCACAGACTTCTGTCCAAAATTTGCAAGCTGGTTGGCCGGTTCCGGCACACAGGGATTTCCGGTACAAGAGTAAGTGTTTTAGGTACTGTATTCCAGCTACCTAATCCAGATGCTATTTACAGTCAAGATGAAGAGAAGAAAAGGAAAGTGGGCGGCCATCCCGCTTTGTTTGGGTTGGTACACGGCCCACGGTCTGCTAGGGGAAGGAGTGATAGAAGGAAGGAAGCGACTAGGCCGCTGGCCTAGTCATGTGACCTAGGGCTCAGCCCGTTACACAAGTCGGGTTCATCGAATCGTAACCTTCGTTCTATAGCCCCCCGGTTCGCATTTGAAAGCAAATCAGACCGCTTCCACGTTAACTCAACGTGCATCTGCCCAGAGCCCCCACTACCAGCAGTCGAAGAGCCATGTCGAACATGACGTTGTCGACTGTAGATGGGCTATATCAGACCTGTCAACAATCAATCAGATCGGCATGATTGATTCCTATCTAGGTTAAAGGCTGCCTAATGAAGTAATTCTTTAACCTATATAGGAATCAATCATGTCGATCGATTGATTGTTGACAAGTCTGAGCTATATGCATTAGTCTGATACTTGAGGGGAAAGAGGTCAAGCAGCAATGACATGGTAGAAAAATCTCCACAAAGTAGAGTATCAATATATGCTCGATGGTCATTTTCCCGCTTCACCAGCACAGTTGTCAACTGTAACGGTTTGGGACTTGCCAAGACCGACTTGGGTGAGAGTTGGGTACGGCCATCGCTACCACACTTTCTCATCGCACACACCTATATAGCTGCAGTTCCTCCATAGCTACACAATGCAACGCAGTCCTCCTCCTCTCCTCACACCGTTACAGTTATGAGCCCGGAAGCCTTTAATTAAATCGCTGCGTTCACCCGATATACAGCTAACAGACAAGCTGTCGATACGACGACACTCAACACTAGGAGCATATTTAGCTAGGTAGTTATGGCAACTCAAGAGCACGAAATGCAGGTGACGAGAGCGTCAGTTACCCTCCGAAAGCCAGACGATTGGTCGAAATGGCTGTTCACGAGGAAGATATCCGCAGACCGGAATGGTCTGTGGGAGTACGTTAACCCAGATCTTTCGCCAGAGAGGCTGAAGATGCTAGAAGACGAGAGACCTAAAGAGCTCGAAGTAAGGAGATTTCGAAATCCTCTTACAGACGAGCAGATCGATATCCCAGACTTGACAGCGACAGAGCTCGCTACGTACAACTCATGGGCTAGACGATTCGATCGCGACGAGGCCAGGTGGCTCACGAAGGAGAAGGCTCTCCGAAACCTAAGCCTAGAGATCGTGCAGACAATTGACGTCAAACACCTAGACCTAATCCTCGATTGCGCAGACGCCTATAGCCAGCTGAGAACGCTAAAGAAGCACCTCTGTCCATCGATTGGAGAGAGGAACCACCAACTTAGAGCTCGGTACACAGCAGTCTGCACGAGACCAAAGACCGCAAACTTAGATACATGGTTTGACGAGTGGGTGACGATCACCCGACTCCTCACGGAGGCCAAGATGCCAGAGACGACTGGCAACAGAGCGCAGGAAGAGTTTATCCTGTCGATTAGAGGCCTGGACGATAGCTGGGCAGCTACTCAGCTACAGGACCTTATTAAGAAGGAACAGAAAGATGAAGAATTTCCGCTGATCGCGGATTTGATCGCGGAGTTCAGATCGTACTACCGACGTACACGGCCAATCGCGTCAGGACTTGGAACCTTTGCTACACTCGAGGTAGCAAGTAGTGGCAACAGCCAAGGAGCTCGTACACGCTCAGGACCATGGATACCAAGGTGTCTTGATGGGGAAAACCACAAGTTCGATAACTGCCCGTACGTTAACCAGTCAGTTCGGACAAAGGGCTGGAAGCCAGACAAGGCAATTCAGGATAAGTTCACAGAGCTTAGAGACAGTCCTACGTCGAATTCGATGGCCAATGCACTAAGAGCAACAGAGCGGGGGCTTAAGAAGAAGACAAAGCCGCAGGCTGAGGTCCAGAGCTCGTCCATGATTAGTATAGACGATGGACAGCCAGCGCGCAATAAGCCACACGTTAATGCGGTGCTGCAGACTGCAGCAGCTACA